AAGGACCATGCACCAGCGAGTTCAAGGACGATACATGTAATTTTCTCTTCAAGTGGCCTCGGGGAAAGCAAAGCCTCACAGGGTTGAAGCATCCACTAGGGACGGAGACTGACTTGTCATTGTCTGTTTGATATCGGCAATTGATCTCGTTGATGGTATGCTGGGAGGCAGCAACACCATTCTGCAGAGGTCCTCACTGGCTAGTGCCGTGTAATCCAAAAATGCTTCGTAAGGTAGATGGGAGTGACTTGGGATGAGAACTGTTCTTGCTTCGACACAACAAAACCTCAAACAGACTACTATCACATAGGAGCTGACTTTAAATCACGACCAGACTGATTCGTAGCCACGGATGTCAATTAGGCATTACGGGTATAAACTAATCAATCTCACGCCAAACAAATATTTCACAGATCAGATGGGTATAATACTAACCAATCTCCAGCTTACCACCCATGTAGTATTCAGGAGTAAAAACAGAGTGGCTAAAAAAAAGAGTCAAACCTACATTTTGCAGTCAATACAAAACATTACCTCCGTTCATAAATGTAAGACATTTAGGCAGTATAAATTAGAATGCCAAAACTCTTATATTTAAAAACGAAGGGTGTAGTAGACAATTTAAGTAAAATCACTGACAGCCAATACACTAATAGTTTAACATAGCATTAGATATAAAGCCATTAAGACAATGGATAGAGCTGACAGCTTTAAATGGCTAACTGTATTTAATTTATATAATGTTCACGCCTAGTCATCATCCATACATCCCTCCCTCGAGATAAACTGCTTGTCTCGAACAAGAAGGGACCAAGCAACAGCGACTTCCACCTTATAGGAGGCAAGATCACATATGCCCCGACTTATTTTGCTTTCCTGGGCTGGAAAGAAGACATGGCCATGTTTAGTAACAAAACCATTTGAAGACAGGGCACGGATGATGACTTCGAGCTTTCCATCTAACTCTACGGAAACAACGTGCCTTGACAGATCAAGACAACCATCCCAGTTGTTAGCTGTCACTTGACCTTGAAGCACAACCTCATCTTCATGTTTCAGCGCCGAAGATCTGTCGCCAACACAACTAACTTCACCTTGAAAGTAACCATCTGAAATGTTATCCATCACTTGATCTTGTAGCAGGACCTCATTCTGAGGTTTAACGGGCTTAGAATGTGCCTTGGCAATGACTAGACCACCATGTCTAAAAGGCCATTTCTTCTTTCTCCAATTAATAACACGGACACCGACTATAGTTGCTTGCACTGTCTTCTCCAGTTTCGCACACCGTAACACAATTCTGCAGGAGTCATCCAACAGAATGGCCTCATTACAGCTGTACTTGGAGGTCTGATGCATGAGCACTCTATCTTTTGACTTCATCCTGCCCTTTACTTTGAGTTTAATGTCAAAGTCAACAGGATCTATAGCCGCAATTGCACGAGACGGGCCAGTCAATTGCAAAAAAGGATTCTGCATTTGTCAATTATAATCATAGTTAACAAAACAGAGATGCAAGAAAAAAGAGAAACTGCACGGAAGTTTTTCAGGAGAAAATTAAGTACAACCTTTTGAGTGAGTGCAACAGTTTTGCTAAGCTAGCAGTTTAGCTGCCAACTTAACTACATGCTTATTTCTAAATGCATCTGTTCATAACAAATCAACGGACCAGAAACATAAAACAGAAAAATACGATACAGACCTCTGGAGTGAGTATCTGGCAGTCATTCCTTTGACGCAAGAAGAGAATGTTGCGATTGTGATCCACGGTATCTCAGGCAGCAACCATGCCATACACACGCAGTGGCCACTTCAACTCAGGAGTGCCCTTTATTTCTGCGACTTTAATGGAGTATATTTGCAGAGTGCTGGTGGCGAATTCAGCATAAGAGGTGCGGTCCGTTGTACTGTGTGTGAAGTGCATAGGACTCAATGAAGCTGCAGTCATCGAAAATAAGATTCAGATAATTCATTCGGCCACCACAAGTGAAGTAAATCCCTTCCTCAACAGAATGAAGTAATTTGCTTCCTTGAGACATGCAACAGGAAGGAAGAAAAACAACTAAGGTACAATGAGCAGAGAACATGTTTACTCACTCGCATCTTTGCAGGGACTGCTAAACAACCTGGACAAATTCGATTCCAAGGCGCGACAGTAGATAGTAAAGAACATCCCAGTCTGCATCTTCTCCTCCATCCCCTCAGCTTCCTCAATCTCCAATTTTGCCACCTCATCCCTCTCCTCGGCTTCCTCTCCCATCTCCTTGGCTTGCTCAATCTCTAATTCTGTATCTCCTGAAGTGGAAATCCTCTCCGGCAACTCGTCGCTCCCCATGGCTCCATTCACAGCCTCCATGGAGATCCTGGGTGGTGCCTCGATGATCCTCACCTTTCCGCCGCCTCTCTTTCCCCTCGCCTCCCCTTCCATCTCCGCCTCTCCTTCCATCTCAGGACACGGCTCTCTGCTCCTCGTCTTTCCGCCGCCACCCGCCGCCGCTGTTCTCTTCTCTTTTCGATTTCGAGGAGGGGAATGTCTTGCTTAGGGTTTCGACGAAACGGAGAGACCGGTGGGTGTGGGGGGTGCACTATATTGCGTCTGTCTCAGCCCGGCCCAGTAGAGACCGACACATACACTTCCAGCCAGTCCACACTGCTGCCGCGTGCTTCAAGAGGGAGCGAGCAAACCAGCTCCTCTCTTTTTTCTCACTTTGGGATTGTTGTTTGCCTTGTGCTATTTGTATTTGCATTCGCTTGTTAGGCTCAGCCCGGCCCTTTAAATATAAGAAAAAAAATTGCAACTAGTTTGGTTGCCTACATTGCATCACGAGGTCGTTTAATGCATGACATTTGGTTGTGAGTTGTGGTGCTTGTTTTCCTAACAATGAGTATTGGGTGTGTATAAAGGAGTGTAGAGACTATCAGATGAAAATATTACTATATTAAATTTATTTAAAATATTGTTTAACAAATTCCGATAATGTATGACCTAATTTGGAAATTTCAAATATATGCCCTGCCAGCCTCGCTTAGGCCCAAGAGGGCATTTCGGTCCTGTGTGGGCCGAAGACATGCCGATCTGGGCCGAAGGGTAATCTTCGGTGGCTAGTGGGTTGAAGAGATTAACTTCGAATGCGCGTACACCGAAGAGTGATCTTCACCAACACATGACCGAAGAGTTCAGGATAAGGCTACCACGGCCATTTCTTTCTCCTAACTCGTCGTTCTCCATCTCTCCCTTCTCTTCGCCATTTTCTCTCGATCAACCTTCATTTTGTCCCCTAACCATTGCCACCTACCAGATCCACTAGATGAGACCTATTCCCGACAGCCAAGTCCTCGATCTATCCATGGGTAGAGGGTGGAGGCATGGGGGAGGATGTTTGGTGGGGAGCATGGAAGGAGGTCAGTTGGGGGGAGTTCGGGTGGAGGAGGAAGAGGTTTGAAGGGGTAGCTCGGGTGGAGGAGGAGCTTGACTGAGAAAAGTTGGGGCCAACAATCCGCGGAGGATCACGAACCCGGCGGCGGTGGCTCTCTTCTTCTTCCTCTCGCTTCCCTCTTTCTGTATCCTAGTTCGTGCTTGTAATCAGGGCTAGCTACTGTAATTCGGGCTTGTAATCGAGAGAGACATCTAGTTTCCTAACATCTGGTATTCAGAGCCAGGCACCACCCTTCCTCAAATTCTTCCACATTTTTTCACCACCACCATCCGAGGGAATCAGCCATGGATCCGTCCATCCAGGAGTATCTCCAGCGGCTTGACGCCAGCCTTGACGCCTACACCAACGCCATACCGTCCCTCGCCGAGAAACTCGGCGCCCATGTCCAAAATCCACCACCGCTCGCCACCTCGTCGGAGAGCACAACTGACGCGTCGTTGCACATCCCTAGTGTCTCCTACTCCACAGGCGAGGCCCAAGAGGTTGTCAAGGTCGTCCACGACGCGCTCCCCGCCTGCAGCGCAATGGCGCATGTCGCCTGTTCGATGAAATGCTCGCACCAGGTCGCCGTCACCAACAACGTCGACAAGGTCACCACCGTCTACCATGAGTCTGTCATCGACCTCAGTGACAAGTTTGGCGCCCTCACATTCCTGTGATGGCCAGCATCAACCCGCTGTTCCACGTCCAAGTTCTGTCACCCAATTCCTTCGCCGATAGCACCCGCGGCGTCGCTATTGCAGGACCGGATGAGTACACACTCATGGCGGCCACTCCGGACGTCGCCCTCGAGCTTGCCGTCCTCTCAAGCGTCTCCTTCTCCACCAACAAGGCCCATGAGGTCCTTGTTGTTCCCCGCAGTGTGTCCCATATCTACATCGGCATGACGCCTTCTATCTGTTCGATGAAATGCTCCAACCAAGTTGGTGCCACTTCATTCCCGTCTCCGGTCACGACGACATCGCTACTCCCAGTAGCCACACATGAGCTCGTCGTTGACCTCGTTTGTCCTGCTACCAAAGTTGTCAATTCGATGCAGCCGTTCCGGAAGCATGACTTGGACGTCTCGCCGCACACAAGCCACCAGGGCCTGCTGCTACGGCCGATGCCGTGGCCATCATTGCAAGCAACTCCTATTGTAGACGGAATGGAGACTCGACTAGCTACTGTAATTCGGGCTTGTAATCGACAGAGACATCTAGTTCCCTAACACGAAGGTAGTAGAAGATAGTACAAGCAACAGCCGCATGCCGCTTGAGGGATCTGAGAAAGAACTAAGCAGAATCGAGCATTGGTATTCTTCTAGCAGATTTGCTAAATGAATCGTTTTAGTAAGAACATTGCTTCCAGAAACAAGCGTTGGCACATAGGAGTAGAAACGAAAAGCAGGCGGATACACAAATAATCAGATACCTAGTGACATCAGTTGATATAGAGATTTGCTGATATTACATTACATGATACGACGATACACAAATAGTTGCATATTTTTAGATCGACGCAGTACTGGAAAAACTGACTAAATGAGTTAGTCTGACGGCTATCATGTCTGCCTGGGCATCATCAAAGTTCCTCATTTGCCCCCCTCGTGATCCACAGCTTGTCCCAAACAAGACGGGACCAAGCAACAGTGATCTCCAGCTTAGAGTCGCCAAGTTGACACTCATTCTGAGTTATATTGCAATCTATGGCCTGGATGGATACCTGAGCAGCCATAGCCCCAGATCGCGAGTTGGCCTCTATGAGAACTTCAAGCATTCCACACAATTTTACAAAGACAACATGCCTTGACAGATCAAGGTAACCCTGTGAACAACTTGTCATTGCTCCATCTTGAAGCACAACTTGCCAAAACGAGGGGCCGGTCCTGTGTTCAGGATTAGGCAATTTGGCTCTTCTCCGAGGCAGAGAGGAGCAAACAACTCGGCCGCCATTTTTAAAAATACTTGGCGTCTCTTCAGGAACACAGACACGGATACCCACGGCAGTTGCCTGTACTGATTCATAAACTTCCTCTGAGCTTAACTCCATTGTGCAAAAGTCTCCTTCGAGAGGGATATATAGAGTACATATCCCACAATGACTACCGCTGTAATAACAGAAAAAACTCATCAATGGTTTATCTTCAGACTTGGTTGCGCACTTCACTTTCAACTCGATTTCCACATTAAGAGGTTCCCGACTCACAATTGCACGAGACGGGCCAGTCAGGCGCAAAAAAGGATCCTGCATTCACCATTCATTAATCAGTGTTGCTAAGGTAGCACTTTAGTGGGCAATTGTTTGATACGTGTTCTTAACTACATGCGTATTTCAAAATGCATTTATTCATAACTAATTAGCGGACCAACAAACAGAAAATAGGAAGATACTATAAGGACCTCTTGAGTGAGTATTTGGCAGTTACTCCTTCGACGGGAGAAGAGAATGTTGCGATTGTGATCCACGCTGTCTCTTGCAGCAACCATGCCGTACACTTCCAGTGGCCACTTCAAGCCAGAACCATCTTCTATTTCTGCGAGTTTGAGGGAGTAGATTTGCAAAGTGCTATCAATGAGAGCACCCAATGGGCGTTGTCCCGGTGTAATGTGTGTATAGTGCATAGGACTCAATGACGCTGCAGCAATAAAAAAAGAAGACTATTTAGAGAATTCAATCGGCTTCCCTTACTAAAGAATGAAGGAGCATGCTTGCTTGATACATGCAGTAGGTAAGAAGAAACGCACCGAACAATGAGCACATAAGTAGCATGACTGGATGTTTACTCACTCGTCTCTGTGAAGGAATCGTGGAATCTGGACCAATTCGATACCCAGCCGCTGCGGTACCTAGCAAAGAACTCCTCATCAATCTACTCCTTGTCCATGTTGGCATCCTCTCCCATCTCCTCGACTTCCTCTGTCTCCAATTTTGTCTCCATGGAAGAGGAACTCATCGGCGACACATCGTGTAGCAGCTCCTTGAATAGCTCGGAGAATGATGGGGATTTGTTGCTAAGATGTCCCATCTGATCCAGCTGGGTGCAGAGCTGATCCAACCCACCGAAGATCGCATTAAATCCGTAGTTGTAGTAGGTCCTCGACGCCTGCATCTTCGTTGCTAATTCTCCACTTTCTTCGGTCCTAATGTGGATCCCCTTCACACCCATCTTTTCCGTGACTGGCTCTTTGCCTAGAACCTCCCTGTTCTGCAATTTGCCCATCATCTGGAGCAAACTCGTCACGTCGGTGTACATGTTATCCATGTGGATTTGGATCTCACTAATGCTATAGTCGCTAATCCTCAGTTTCGGTTCGGGTTTCAGATTCACAGCGTTCTCAGAGAAAAGATGGAGTAAGGAGTAGATCTTAGCCTGAACGATCTTTGTGGCTGAATGAGTCTCCGATGTTGTCACCACATGCTTCCTCGCCCGGATCTTTACAGTATGCTCGAACGTCTGGCCATCAACACATCCCTCCCTCGAGATATACCGCTTGTCTCTAATAAGCAAGGACCAAGCAACAGTAACCTCCACCGTATGGGAGCCAAGATTACATGTGCGCCGACTTACTTTGCTTTCCTGGGCTGGAAAGAAGACACGACCACATGATTTGCGGGCATGTGATTTGTCGGCACTGATGATAACTTCCAGCCTTCCATTTAACTCTACAGAAACAACATGCCTTGACAGATCAATGTAACCATCTGAACTGTTAGCCATCACTTGATCTTGAAGTACAAGCTCTTCTTCAGGTTGCTCGGGTTTAATGGGCTTAGAAGTTCCCTTGGCAATGCAACTAGCTCTACCATCATGTTTAAAAGGCCATTTCCTTTTCCTCCAATTAGTAACACAGACACTCACTATAGTTTCTTGGACTGTATTTTCCAATTTTGCACACCGTAACATAATTTTGCAGAAGTCATTCGACAGAGTGGTCTCATTAGCACTGTAGTTGAAGGTCTGATGGATCAGCATTCTATCTTCTGACCTGCTTCTGCCCTTCACTTTCAGCTTGATTTCAAAGTCAACAGGATCTATAGAAACAACTGCGCGAGACGGGCCAGTCAACTGCAAACAAGGATCCTGCATTTCCCAACAACTACAATCAACAAAACAACAAAAGATGAAAGCAAAAGGAAGTAAAGAGAAACTGGGCAATTTTTTTAGGATAAAATTAAATAAAACCTTTTGAGTCAGTATTTGGCAATCACGCCTTTCATGGAGGAAGAGAATGTTGCGACTGTGATCGACGGTATCTCGGACCGCAACCATGCCGTACACATGCAGTGGCCAATTAAACTCAAGAGCTTCTTTTATTTCTGCGACTTTGACAAAGAAAATCTGCAGGGTGCTGGCAATGACAGCAGCATCAGAGGGGCTTCCCGGTGTAATGCGTGTGAAGTGCATAGGATTGAATGACGCTGCAGCCACCGAAAAAAGGAAGATTTAGATAATTCGTTCGGTCACTACAAAGTAAGGTAAATCCCTTCCTCAATAGAATGAATCAATCTGCCTGTTTGAGAGATGCAGCAGAAAGGAAGAAAAGGAACCTAATGTACAATGAGCAGATAAGTACGAGTAGCATGGATGCATGTTTACTCACTAGTATCTTTGCAGGGACTGCTGAAGAACCAGGACCAACACGCTTTCAAGCCGCCACAGTACATATCAAAGAACGGCCCAGTCTGCATCTTCTCCTCCATCCCCTCAGCTTCCTCAATATCCAACTTTTCCACCTCATCCCTCACCTCGCCTTCCTCTCCCATCTCCTTGGCTTTGTCAATCTCTAATTTTGTATCTTCTGAAGTGGAAATCCTCTCTGGCAACTCGTCGCTCTCCATGGTTCCCTTCACAGCCTCCATGGAGATTCTCGGTGGTGCCTCGTCCGTCTATCTGGCCTCCTCTATTTCATCCAATTTGTTTTTGGTCTCCAGCTTTATTCTTGTGAGGTTTTCCCGCGACTCCTTGAGCAGCTCGGAGATTGGTTTGGACTCCAAAACGGAACCAAGTAGTTACATCTTACCAAACATGGCGTGAAGCTGCTCCAACTCATGGAAGATCAAACTGAATTGGTTCACGAAGTAGATCCACATGGCCTGCGTGTACGTTAATGACTCGACCTTGTCTTGAGTCCTAAATCTGGACCCTCCTCGTCTCCAGCCATTCCATCACCTCAGCCCTAGTCTGGATCCCCTTCGTGTTCAACCATTCCGTCACCTCCTTGTACATCTTATCCATGTGGCCCCTGGCCTCCATAAACCGTTGCTCCGGCCCATCTTCCAGACTCATGATGTGCCTTCCAAGAACATCAAGCAAGGGGTAGAGCTCAGCCGCAACCTTCTTCGTCGCCGACTTGATCTCCGATAATGACTTCACGTGCTTCCTCCTCGCAGCATGTTCGATGCCCTTCCTGGATTCGGCGCTCTTCCGCTTCACCTTCCCTTCCATCTCAGGAACCCGATCTCTCATGATCCTCACCTTTCCGCCGCCTCTTTTCTTTTATTTTTGCTCCCTGCCCTGGGTTCCCGTGGCATGCTCGATGCCCTCTCTGACACTCTTTCCCCTCGCCTCCGCTTCCATCTCCGCCTCTCCTTCCATCTCAGGAGATGGCTCGTCTTTCCGCTGCCACCCGCCGCCGACCGCCGCCGCTGTTCTCTTTTCTTTTCGATTTCGAGGAAGGGAATTTCTTGCTTAGGGTTTCGAGTTTCGACGAAACGGAGAGACTGGTGGGTGTGGTGGGGTGCACTCTATCGCGTCTCAGTCTCAGCCCGGCCCAGTAGAACGACACACACTGTGTCGGCTGGCTCGGGATAGCGCAAACCAGCCACTCTTTTTTTCTCACCTTGGGCTTGTTTGTTTGCCTTGGGCTATTTGTATTTGCATTCGTTGTTCGGCTCAGGGCTCAGTAAATATAAGCATTCGTTGTCTCAAAAAATTCTTGTCTCAAAAAATTCGTTGTCTCAAAAAATAGTAAATATAAGAAAAAAATATTTTGCATCTGGTTTGGTTGCCTACAGTGCATCACAAGGTCGTTTAATACATGACATTTGGTTGTCAATTGTCGTGCTTATTTTCCTGACAATGAGTATTGGGTGTGTATAGAGGAGTGTAGAGACTATCAAATGAAAATATTATTGCCTCCTCCTTCCTCCACAAAAAGTTAGGGTTTCTGCCTCCCGCCGCCGCCACCGCAGGTCCGCCTCCTCTCTGGTGGTCCTAGGGCCATGGGGGGCGGTGGATCTCGGCAAGGGCCGGTGGGAGGGCTCCGTTTTTAGTCGTTTCTTTCAGTTTTGCTAGGGTTTGTGTCCTGCTCAGGAAGACGAGACGACGGCGGCTCCCTGAAGATGGAATAAAGGTCTCCCCGTCTAGCCCCCGTTCCGGCGGTGCGTCTAGCACCTTTGGTGGGCATGTGGAGGTGTGTCTCCGGCGTATCTATCTTTGGTGGATTTGCTCGGATCTCGTTGTTGTTCGTCTACGTTCGCGTGTCTTCGGATTGGATCTTTCTGATATACATTATTCTTCATCTGCAGCGGTTGCTATTCTGGTGCGCTGGTCCTACGGGGCCTTAGCATGACGACTTCCCGACTGTCTACTACAACAAGTTGTGCCTGACTCCGGCGATGGAGGGGCGATAATGGCGGCGCACCTTCAGCTCGCTTCAGTGCTGGTAGTCGTCGCTAGGTGGTCTATGGATCTGGATGTAATTTTTATTATTTCTAGTATTCATTGTACTGCCATGATTGAAGATGAATAGATCGGAAATTTTCTCACAAAAAATGAAAATATTATTAAATTTATTAAAAAATATTTTTAACAAATTCTGATAATGTATGACCTAATTTGGAAATTTCAAATATATGACCCCGCCATCCTCACTTAGACCGAAGAGTGGGTCTTCATTCATACATAAGCTGAAGAGTAACTCTTCGTCCAACGTAAAGCCGAAGAGGGCATTTGGGTCCTGTGTGGGCCAAAGACATGCCGATCTGGGCTGAAGAGTAATCTTGGATGGCCAGTGGGTTGAAGATATTAACTTCGGCTGCGTGTACGCCGAAGAGTGGTCTTCGCCAAGAGATGACCGAAGAGTTCGGGATAAGGCTACCACGGTCACTTTCTTCCTCCTAACTGCTCATTCTCTATCTCTCTCTTTTCTTCGCCATTTTATCTTGATCAACATCTGTTTTGTCCCCTAACCATTCCCACCTACCAGATCCACTAGAGGAGACCTATTCCTGGTAGCCAAGTCCTTGATCTATCCATGGATAGCGGGTGGGGGCATGGGGGAGGATGTTCGGTGGGGAGCAGGTGCTGGAATTTAGTCTATTTTGGGCAGCCCAATAACTATTTCAGAAATTCCTAATAAATCCTAGAGGCCCACTTAGCCCATTTATGCAAGGCAAGGGATACTACTAAAGTTTAGTCCCACATTGCTAGTTTAGAGGGAGTTGGACCTCCTTATAAGGGAGGTTCTTTCTCCACTTGTACGAGCATGAGAACAAGTGGGATATCCACGCGCGCTCCTCCTCCGCCGCCCGCCTCGTCACGACGCGCCGCTGGTTGCGGGAATGAGCCGAGCCGATATCTAAATTTTTGCCACGCACTACGGGTATATGAAAGGTCACA